CACAGACGACGCGAGACAGACTGTATGAAACACAGAGACTAAATACACATGAGGGATGATCAGGGGAAGTGGCCACACATGGGAACACAGCTGACACACATGAACTTAACGACAGGACAGAAGGAGTGAAACTGAATACACTGACCGTGAATACAGACTTTCAAAGTAAAACAGGAAACATGGAGATTAGACAAGACACATGAACCGGGGAGACGTAGTACAGGGGAGATGACATAACCGACAGCATGGACTTGACAATATAAGACACGCAGACATAAACACACGAAGGGCAAGGGAGACTTAATACACGGGTAATATGTACAAATGGCTGGACTGCCTTAGTGACCCTAAACAAAGAATAAACATCAAAATAGGCTAAAACACAAAACACTGGGTCGCACGACCCAGGACCATGACAATACCCCCCCCCCTCAAGGGCTGGCTCCCGATAGCCCAAAACCGAGAAACCAAACAAAAACAGAAAAACCCCACCCAGGGCGGGAGGCGGGGGACCAGGACGGAGGGACCAGAACAGGAAACAAAACGAACAACAGAACACACAGGAGCACAAGACCAAAGTCAAAACAAAGTTCAGGGGGCCGACCCAGAGCCCACAGGCACAAGAGTACACGGGTCACATGGTCGGGGGCCGACCAGGCGGGCGGCACAGGTGACAGAGCCGGTCCGGAGGCCGGCCGCGCAGAAGGCAGCGGCGGCGATGAAGGCGACGGAGCAGTTCAGGAGGCCGGCCGCGCGGAAGGCAGCGGCGGCGACGAAGGCGACGGAGCAGTTCAGGAGGCCGGCCGCACAGAAGGCAGCGGCGGCAGCGAAGGAGACGACGGAGCAGTTCAGGGGGCCGGCCGCGCGGAAGGCAGCGGCGACGGAGCAGTGTCAGGCGCATTGGCCGAGGCCCGGTGGACACAGGACCAGACGAGGCTGAAGACTCCGATGAGGCTGGACCAGACGAGGCTGACGACTCCGATGAGGCCGGACCAGACGAAGACGCCGGCTCTGAGGCTGCAGCCGACGACGACTCTGAGGCTGCAGCAGACGACGACTCTGAGGCTGCAGCAGACGACGACTCTGAGGCTGCAGCAGACGACGCAGAAGGTGGCTGGATGGGCGGCTCGGGCCCCCCAGCCGACGTGGCATGGTGCTGGACGGGCTCCTCGGGCCCCCCAGCAGACGTGGCAGGTTGCTGGACGGGCCCCTCGGGCCCTCCAGCTGAGACATGAGGCTGAACGGGCCCCTCGGACCCTCCAGCGGAGACATGAGGCTGAACGGGCCCCTCGGACCCTCCAGCTGACGAGACATGAGGCCGGAGGGGCTCCTCGGGCCCTCCAGCTGGCATGACGTGAAGTGGTGTGGATGCTGCAGGATGCCGGGTAGGCACACCCGGGCATCCAGCAGCAGGCGCAGGGTGAACAGTTAAGGAGGCCCCTGGCTGGACCGGGAGCAGGGCTGCCACCTGGACAGGGAGCAGAGCAGGGGGCTGTCGTGGTGGCGATGACTCTCTTGAGCCTCCAATGGAACCATGAGCCGGTGCAGGCGCCTGCAGAGCGACAACCGCTCCCACCTGAGCGCCGAGGCTGGGTGCGGAGCTCAGCTGTGTACTGACTGGCATAACTTTGGGAACCCACCTGGGTGTAGGAACAAACCGGACGGCAGCCATTCCCGCCTGGGGTGTAAACGCAGGATATGGCTGACCTCCGGCTGCCCTGACCCTGGTGGTGGGAGCTAGCTCAGGTGCTGGTTGGGTGTCCACTGCCTCTACCTGGAGATCAGACGCAGGTGAGAGGTCAGGTAACGCCACAGCCACCCTGGGAGTGAGCACGAAGCTCCGGACACTGTCCTTGGCAGATGTAAGCAGAGGAGCAACGACAGACAAGGACCTAGATGTCTCTAAGTCCTTAACACAGTCCGAATTGTCCTTAGTTGCCCTTCTTGGGGAGCTAAACACTCCTTCTGTCTTTGGAGCACGATTCAAACAATATTTCAGACCAGAAGCAAGGTGGCTCAGTGACACAAGTGACAGTTATGTTGTCCCAGGAAGCATGACTCTTAAGGCCAAGACTCGATGCATGAACCCACATAACACAACCAGGACTAGGTGCAGATGATTTGAACACAATAATTTGGCAGTCACATGGGAGACAACTACACTTACTGGAGTCTAAGAGCCCTGTTGGCGAGACTGAGTTAAGGAGGGGTTCAGCCCCACACACTAGGCGGCTGTAGAAAGCTAGTGAGTGGGATGCACATGGACTTGGCGTGGCATAGAAAACATAGTGGACTGGCTCTGAGCAATCCGGCTGAATTGTCCTTAGATCGGCCAGTTCATTAACTGCAGTCAAAAGGCCCTGGCCCAGGGGTGCGGTTAAAGGGCTAGCTGGTTTGTGATGATTAGCGTGGCGCCCCCCCCCCCCCCCCCGACTGTCTTGGAAACACAAAATACAGCCTTGTCATTAGATAAGGGGAAAGCACAACATAAACAGACCTTCACTTTAGTATTAACAGAAATCACAATGCCATTCACAGACATAGGAAAACCCGGCAGGCCCTTAATACTCGTCCAGCCCCGGCGGACTGGTGCAGAAGAGCGGTTGCTGATGTCGGACCCCAAAGCACTCACTCTGGTCAAATTATCAGCAGACTGAGGAACCTGGGGCCCGATTAGTGCCGGAACATAACATACAATTTCCTGATCAACACCAGACGTTCCTTCTTGCGCTGGGCTAGTTACATAAGCAGAACATTCATTATTCGGCTTGGGAACAGGGAAAAAAGACCCCAAAAGGTGGGTGCTAGTCAAAGGGAATACAGTCTTATTACTAGTCAGATCAGACGTTTTCTCACGTGATTTATAGTCAATGGATAGCAGGGGCTGAGACACAGTCTTCGAAAAGGCTCCAGATGCCGTAACAGTCTTAAAAGAAGCCTCCTTAGCGAAAGACGCATGTCCTGGGTGTGCAGCGTCTTCTCTATCCTCTATCTCCCTAACCTCCCCCTCAGCCTGCACACTCACAATAACAGGGTTTAACAGAACATCGCACGGGTTGATCCCCAAAACCGAAGTGCCTATGGCCGGTTTGGCAGTGTCAGGTTCACAGTACTGTGAGGGCAGTGTGGCGTCCCCAAAAACAGCATGCCCAACACCAGAAAACTTATCTTTATTGTCAATACAAAACGTAGGCACGAGAGTAACACCTTCAATATCAGTAGCCAGAGGCACGGGAAAGACAGCTTCTTCACTGGCCTCCGAGAAAACAGACTGTGACAGGGTGCCTGGGGGGGTGACAGAGTTAACAGTACCGGTACACGGGGTCTTCATCTCTGAGACATTTATTGTCCCTCTGAGCCCCTCGCTCTCAGTACATCCAGAGCGATTAGGTGGACACAAAACATCGTCACTAACCTCCGAGCGTCGGGCGATGCGGTGGCGACGCGAACGCCGTTTCTTCTTGGCCGTGGGTCCCATTGACGTGACGTGGAAAGTGGAGCCTCTTGCAGCGTCGCAGAGGCTGAGGCGGCGAGTGTTGGCGGGGCGGCAGGCGGGAGCTCCAGGCAACTCCGGGGCCCCCAAGGGCTAGGCGTGTCCCGCGGAAGATCTCACCGTAGTGAGGAGCGAGCCATGGCTCCTCCCGTAGCTCCTCCTGCAGTTGCGCGCATGCGGCGCGCTGCCGCCCCTCGAGGTCGGAATCCATGCCCCCCACAGCTTTCCCGTGTAGCTCAGTGGAGGGCGACACATGCTGTAGCGATGAGCGACGGCGACGTGAACGTCGCTTCCGTCTTGAAGTGGACGCGGACGGAACTTGGATTTCTGTGGCGAGCGGCTCCTCGTCTTCCGACCACATCCGCGCCAGATAAGAAGCGGGAGAAGTGTAGTCCGATCGAGGCGGCGAGGACGGGCGGCCGGTCCGAGGCGGGGCGGCTGGCAGAAGCTCCTCCTCGGAGATAAGCCAGGGCTTCCAGCGTAGCTCGTCCTCCCGATACGCCCGCAACACCTGCTGCCGCTCCTCCTCACCGAAGTCAATAGCCTCGGGCATCTCCGTGCAGACAGGCGGTGGCGAAGATGCGGAAGCCGATGAAGTGTGTGTGTCGGTGGTGAGCCTCACCGTTCCGACTCTGACCGCCACTGGTTCATGAGGTAGCGGGGTAACACCGCAACAGCATGGCTCTGGTGACGACTCACGCTCGCCGGGCCGCTGCTGCTGCGGGCGGAGTCGGAGAGTGGAGACGAGAAAGTCGCTGACGAGGGGGTGCAGCGTCTCCCATAACCAGGGGAACACGGACACGCACACCCCTACTTGGCGGGCTAACTCTTCCCGTTCCCCCTCTCTGGGACAGTGCAGCCATCGGTCGCATAGCGACTCCACTGTCCGGACGATTTCCATGTCATGTGTCGCTGGGTCCGGCATGCTCGCGTCGTACTGTCAAGGTCTGCGGAGGCAGACCGTGCGGAAAGGTGTGTGGTGGACCCAGGTGCGAACACAAACGAGGATGCAGGAGTGGATTCCAACCAAAACGAGCCTTTTATTATGGCTGATGAAAAGAACAAAAACAGAATGAGGGCAGCATACGTGTAGTACTCAACAGAAAACCTAAACTGGACAAAACTAAGGAAAGACTATGGCTGGAGGTACAGAACACAGGAGGTGGTAACACAGACGACGCGAGACAGACTGTATGAAACACAGAGACTAAATACACATGAGGGATGATCAGGGGAAGTGGCCACACATGGGAACACAGCTGACACACATGAACTTAACGACAGGACAGAAGGAGTGAAACTGAATACACTGACCGTGAATACAGACTTTCAAAGTAAAACAGGAAACATGGAGATTAGACAAGACACATGAACCGGGGAGACGTAGTACAGGGGAGATGACATAACCGACAGCATGGACTTGACAATATAAGACACGCAGACATAAACACACGAAGGGCAAGGGAGACTTAATACACGGGTAATATGTACAAATGGCTGGACTGCCTTAGTGACCCTAAACAAAGAATAAACATCAAAATAGGCTAAAACACAAAACACTGGGTCGCACGACCCAGGACCATGACAATTCCACACACACAGGACCACGGACCATGACAGTCTTGATGTGAGCTTCTACTCAGGGTTTTTTCTTCCAGTTCAGAGAAGAAATATTTTTGTTAAGATGCTGGAGGTTGTTTTCCCCCCACAATTTTAATTATAAGCTAGATATATTTCTACTAATGAAATTCGTTTGCTAACAGCAACAGGGATGAGTCAGTGAGTCAGCTGGGCTTGTGAATCATGATTCACGAGTCAGTAAAGTGATTCTCGAGTATTGAACGATTCGTTCATGATTCGCACAGCACTACTGAGGTGTTCTTCAGTAAACTGGATTACCCGACAGAAGGACCCGAGGCCCCGCTACACTTTTTCGGCAAGGTAAATGTCTTTTTAAGCTACTCTGTAACTACTGTCCTTAGCTAGGTCCTGAAACCTAGCTAGCTAAGATGAGCACTCGGCTGTCGGGGAAACTTGTTTTGTAAAGCTCGTTTAGCTAATCCGTGCAGGCGAATGAAGTTACAGTGTGTTCACACCGAACGCGATAGACGTCACCATAGCGTCAGGTTTACATGTAAAGTCAATGCAGAAGCTTGAAGACATGCGATTGCGGGTCCCGCGAAAATTCAGAAGCAGATTTGCGTTGCGAAATCACATCAAACACATGTCAAAGTAGCACGTTTGACGTGCAAATAAAAATACGCGCGTCAGTTTTTGTGTTGCATTTTGTTCATTCGTGCGTATCGCGTCTACCTCTCGAGTTGGAAAAATCTGAACTCCAGCGTCAATTCGCGCCACAACAACCAATCAGGAGCCTGGTGACGTGGCTCTGACCTAGGTCAAATGGGCAGGTGCAGCCAAAGCCCTTCATACTTCATTCAAAATGGAGGAAAGGCTCATCAACGCCGTAGCAAACCACCCGGAGCTGTACAACACCTGCTGCTTTCTGTACCAAGACAGGAATAAAATGTTGTCATATAGGAATATATTTTAGGAATATATTTTATCTTTTTTTTTTTTTTCGCTGATTTTTTTTATTGCACAGTACAGCTTTCAACAATGCACATTGCATTCTGCAGCCTGATTGACAAATCTCCTTCGTGTCGTGTCTCCTGCGCTTGCCAAATTGATCATGTTTTGTTTTGATAACCATCACGTCCAATAGAAAAAACAGCACAAAAACACCCATAACTATGACCCTCATTCGGAAATAGACACCTGCACTGCGAGGGAAAAGGCGCACACAAGTGGCCGGCAGACAAAGAAAAAACGTGGCATAATAATACTTTTACGTTTTAAAATCTACAAAGGTTTGCACTTTGAGAATCAACTTGTGAGAACTGTGACTAATGTTCAGGAGTGTTTGGAAAAAAAAGAGTATAACGTGCGTGGCAAGGGGCTAGTTATTCTGAGAACCCCTGCTGCAATAAATGAGGGACCACTGTAAATACTTTCTCTATGACTACTGTTTTCTACCTGTTAACATTTAATATTGTCTTGACAGAGCCAAGTGATTCTGCAGCAGAACCATCACTTGTTGCTTCTCCTGGCGCCCCAGTCCCTGGTCCCTCCACTCCTGCTGCTCCACCCACAGGTATGTAATTGTAGCATCAGATGTACAGCAAGCAGTGATAACTATTTACTCTGTTGGATTCCCTTGTGATTACCTTCACTAAATATCTACAACCATTCTGATTATGTCCTGGGTTTTTTTTTTTCAATGTTGAAAATGGAAACATAGTAGCAGCCTTCTCATTTCTTTGTGTTGTTTTGTGCTGTGTGTTACAGGCCCACAGAGGAGGACAGCTCCGAGGCGGATGAGTGATGGGTCCCAGGACGGTCCATCGGCGATGGAGCTGGCCATCCTGGAGTCCCTGAAGAGACCACACCTTCTCCAACGGAGCATTTCCTCGTCAGCCTTGTTCCTGCTCTGGAGAGCATGCCGAGACGAGAGTATTAGTGAAATTTCAAATTAATAAATTCGTTTAAAAAAACAGCACAGCTGTGTTAAATTTGGAAACATTGGACCCGAGCAATCAGTAGTTTTCTGATGAGGCAGCAGGCTCTCCAGTGCAGAAACAATGGTGTTATTTTTCTCTTCCTTCTCCCTGAGGCTCTTCCACTTTAAGCTGGTCCTTTTTATTCCTGTCTCTCTGTAAATAGTTATATTTTATATATTTATGTTTAATGTTTTTCTGTTTGAGAATTTTAATATTATTTGAAATTGGCACACAACTTGACACATGTAGAATTTATTTCATATTATTCTAATGACAAAATATGCTAATAAAGTGGGATGCAAAAGTTTGGGCAACCTTGTTCATGGCCATTATTTTCCTGTATAAATAATTGGTTGTTACAATAAAAATGTCAGTTAAATATATCATATAGGAGTCACACACAGTGATATTTGAGATGTGAAATGAAGTTTATTGGAATTACAGAACGTGTGCAATAATTGTTTAAACAAAATCAAGCAGGTGCATAAATTTGGGCACCACAAAAAAAGAAATGAAATAAATATTTAGTGTATATCAATGTGTGTGTCTCCTATATGATATATGGGGTGCCTTTGTCTGGACGTGCTTCACATCCAGCAGTAGCGGCTTTTGATACGGGTGACACGGGCGGTAGCCTGGGGCGGCATCACAGGCATCGGCGGGAAAAAAAAATGCGCGTACTCATGCTGCCCCGACATCAGCCAGCTCATGGCTCAGAATGGCATAGGCACCGATCGGTTTTCTATCGCCCATTTGCTGGGAGTAAGGGCACCCTCCATTTGCGAGGTGCGCCTGCTGCTTGCGGCAAAGGGAGGAGAGGGCAGGTCGGCGGGGGATTCACTTGCTGGCTGGAGCAGCATCTAATTACCAACTCGCAAAATAAAACAAAATAAAAACAAAACAACAAACACAAAAACACCAGAGATTATGATACAGACTTACACCAATGTTTTTTTGAAACGTGAAAAGTGAGCGAGAGAGCCCTTGGTGCGCTTAATTGCTGCTTAAGTCAAAGTAAACTTTGTCGTCTCCGCTATAGTATACAGAGAGTATACAGAGAGAAGAGACGACGAGGCTCCAGTTACAGCAGTGCAAGTAAACAAACAATAAATATAAGAAGAGTAAGACAATAAACATACACAATTTATAATTTTCAGTTTTATGATTTAAAGTCTCACACACAACCCGTCGAAAGGGGAGGGAGACCTGCTGCTTCCAAATAGAGCACATTTCATTCATAATGTTGTAAATCCAAACCCATTATGTATTCATGATCTGAATCCTGGGTTGTGCAAATTCCCAGAAATACACCTTAGACAAAGTGAATCTGTGAACTAAGGTGTAGGTCTATTATGGCCTGCTTTTGTGTAGCGCTTTTACTCAGTCCCTAAGGACCCCAAAGCGCTTTACACTACATTCAGTCATTCACCCATTCACACACACATTCACACACTGGCAATGGCAAGCTACGTTGTAGCCACAGCTGCCCTGGGGCGCACTGACAGAGGCGAGGCTGCCGGACACTGGCGCCACCGGGCCACTAGACAGTCCCAGATAGCCGTTGCTACCTGGGGGATGATCTGGCTCACTGTGGACACACCAACTCTGAAACTGAATGCGATGGTCATAAAGGAGCCCCCGGTGGCAATGAACCTGGACAAAATTGTTCAAAATTAGTATTATGTGTACTGCAGTTACAAAATACATTATTCAAAGTCCAAAATACTTTTGTGATGTCAGGTTTAAATTACAAAACATAAACCTTATATAAAACATTTTGTAATTATAAGTATAATTACATGATATATATTAGATATAATATAAAACAGTCAGTTGTGTTTTGTTTTAACTTTAACATGTCATAATTTGATTTGTAGCAACTTTTACCCCTACAGTGAGCCAATCACTCATAATTCCTACACATGTCAATCAGGTAGGAATGAAGTAAGACATTAATAGAAATAAAGAGTTGTATGTTGACATATAGCCCTTTCCTTGCTTAAATCATTGTTAATATTTTTTGAAAAGTTAACCTGTGATAAGACATAGCATATCAAGATAGAATATGCTAGCACTGATAACATAACATAAATCGAATTAAATCAGGACTTGATGAGACCTTTTGATGAGATATTCACTGTTAGCATACCACATCCATGTTAGCAGTGTATAAACGGACAGTTTAGCATATATTAGCACAGGTATCACACAGCGTCGAGGTGCAAATTTGCCCGCGTCAAGTTAGGGGCGTCTGCCGCGTTTTTGGTCGTGTCTATCGCGTTCGGTGTGAAAACACAGTTACCCTGACTAAAGAAATCTAGCAAAACGCCCCGGGTTGCTCAGTCACTAATTATCGTTACTGTACTTTTATTACAACTATTGTACTTTAAATGCAACAGGCTGCACTCTGCTTCAGCTCCTGTGCAGAACTGATTATTAAGTATCTTCAAACAGCAGCATGTTTTCAGTCCCTTGCCAAATCTTTAAAGACAGTAACACCATTTAAAAAAAAAAGCTTGTACTTTAGTAACTCCTCATCAATAACTATGGACATCAAGAGAAAACTGTGGAACTGAAAAAAATGTAAGAGAAGAGCTTCAGATCCTGGGTGGGTGAGGACAGAGAAGGATCAGTGTTTTTTTTTGTTTGTTTGTTTTTTATTTCAGATTTGAGAGAAAATTTATATTTGAGTTTGTGATGGTTCTGTCCTCTTTGTGATTACAGGAGCTGCCCTCATATTCAGACCTCAGCACCACCTGTTAGGGTCCATGGGTCGTCAACCCAGTGTTTTGTGTTTTTGGTTCTTTGATTTTTGTTATTTCATTACAGGGAGTGCAGAATTATTAGGCAAATGAGTATTTTGTCCACATCATCCTCTTCATGCATGTTGTCTTACTCCAAGCTGTATAGGCTCGAAAGCCTACTACCAATTAAGCATATTAGGTGATGTGCATCTCTGTAATGAGAAGGGGTGTGGTCTAATGACATCAACACCCTATATCAGGTGTGCATAATTATTAGGCAACGTCCTTTCCTTTGGCAAAATGGGTCAAAAGAAGGACTTGTCAGGCTCAGAAAAGTCAAAAATAGTGAGATATCTTGCAGAGGGATGCAGCAGTCTCAAAATTGCAAAGCTTCTGCAGCGTGATCATCGAACAATCAAGCGTTTCATTCAAAATAGTCAACAGGGTCGCAAGAAGCGTGTGGAAAAACCAAGGCGCAAAATAACTGCCCATGAACTGAGAAAAGTCAAGTGTGCAGCTGCCAAGATGCCACTTGCCAACAGTTTGGCCATATTTCAGAGCTGCAACATCACTGGAGTGCCCAAAAGCACAAGGTGTGCAATACTCAGAGACATGAAAGACGACCACCACTGAACAAGACACACAAGCTGAAACGTCAAGACTGGGCCAAGAAATATCTCAAGACTGATTTTTCTAAGGTTTTATGGACTGATGAAATGAGAGTGAGTCTTGATGGGCCAGATGGATGGGCCCGTGGCTGGATTGGTAAAGGGCAGAGAGCTCCAGTCCAACTCAGACGCCAGCAAGGTGGAGGTGGAGTACTGGTTTGGGCTGGTATCATCAAAGATGAGCTTGTGGGGCCTTTTCGGGTTGAGGATGGAGTCAAGCTCAACTCCCAGTCCTACTGCCAGTTTCTGGAAGACACCTTCTTCAAGCAGTGGTACAGGAAGAAGTCTGCATCCTTCAAGAAAAACATGATTTTCATGCAGGACAATGCTCCATCACACGCGTCCAAGTACTCCACAGCGTGGCTGGCAAGAAAGGGTATAAAAGAAGAAAAACTAATGACATGGCCTCCTTGTTCACCTGATCTGAACCCCATTGAGAACCTGTGGTCCATCATCAAATGTGAGATTTACAAGGAGGGAAAACAGTACACCTCTCTGAACAGTGTCTGGGAGGCTGTGGTTGCTGCTGCACGCAATGTTGATGGTGAACAGATCAAAACACTGACAGAATCCATGGATGGCAGGCTTTTGAGTGTCATTGCAAAGAAAGGTGGCTATATTGGTCGCTGATTTGTTTTTATTTTGTTTTTGAATGTCAGAAATGTATATTTGTGAATGTGGAGATGTTATATTGGTTTCACTGGTAAAAATAAATAATTGAAATGGGTATATATTCGTTTTTTGTTAAGTTGCCTAATAATTATGCACAGTAATAGTCACCTGCACACACAGATATCCCCCTAAAATAGCTAAAACTAAAAACTACTTCCAAAAACATTCAGCTTTGATATTAATGAGTTTTTTGGGTTCATTGAGAACATGGTTGTTGTTCAATAATAAAATTATTCCTCAAAAATACAACTTGCCTAATAATTCTGCACTCCCTATATATTCTAGCTTTGCTTTATGGGTTTTAGGATTATTCTTAGTTTAGGTTCTCTGGGTGGGGTTTGGTTAGAGTTTTAGTGTTCTGGTTTTCTGTCTGTGTTCCATAGTTGCTGTCTCCCCTGTCTGCTATATCCCCACGTCCAGTCAGTGTCTGTCCTGGTCCCACGTCTCTGTTCCATTTGTTATAGTGCCTGCCTGAGTCTGTGTTATGTTTCCTGTTTTACTTTGAAAGTCCATGTCTGATGTTATTGTGTCTGGTTTTGCTTCCCCTTGTCTCTTTAGGCCTGATTTGCCCCAGCTGTGTTTCCCTCCTGTTACCCATTCCCTGATTGCTCCCTCTGTGTATTTAAGCCCTGTGTGTCTTTGTGTCTGTGTTGTGATCTACTCTCATTTATGCTGTGTGTGCCGTCTGCCTGGTCATGTAAATGTATTTGGATTTTTGTTTTGTTTTGCCATCCAGCAATAAAAGCTGAGTTTTGAGTTACTTTCCGCCTCCGAGTGTCAGCACATTGGGTCCTTCTACTTCCGTTCCTGCCTGCACACAGCCCTAACCTGACACTAATGATGGGCAGATGAAGCCCCATGAAGCACTGAAGCTTTTCATCCAATTGGTTCACCCCAACGCGAAGCTTCATGAAGCTTCATTTGCTCTAGCAGGACACCTACTGGACGTAAAAATAATAGCTGGCATGAATTTGAAGAGTGTGGCATTTTGCACACAGCCTGTAAATGTCAACAACAAAAGGAGTGTGTAAAACATGTATATTGTAGTGATGGCAGTATACTGTGTATATTTATAGTGGCAGTATGGGAAATGATTATTTGGAAATGCTTGAAATGGAAATGATCATTTACTGTGAGGTGAGGTGTGGTTGGGGTGTGGACACACTGAGGCTTTGAGCCTCAGTCCTGCCTGTTCACATTTTATTCTGTAAAAACTAAATTTTCACTGCTTTTATAACCTTTAGTGGGGAGAACATAGCTAGGATTTAATGATTTAACAAATCTTTTGAATCCTTTGTCCTCCACAATGCTAAATGGCTGGGAGTCCTCAATCACCATGCTGACCAGGTCTTCATCTATTTGAGATTGTTCTCCTGAGGAAAGACAACAAAAACAAAGCACAAATATAAATATCACACACGTAACTTATAACAGTTGTATAATATTGTTATATCATTTAGTAACATTACTGCATGCTATATTATCATTGCATTTGATGGCTCACCTGGTCTTGCTCCACAATCGGTGTTCCCCTTATTCTCATGCAAAGCTCTGCAGTGCCTAAGCATGGATGAGGTGTTGTTGTTATATCCCAGCTCCCTGGCACATAGCAAACACTTCACCTTGTACAAAAGTACAGACAGCTTAACATAGGTTTTATTGCACCATCAGTATCATGACAATACATCTTCTTTAGAAATTTACATACCTTGTTGGGAGGAATAAGATCAAAATGTTCCCAAACAGGGGAGGACATCCTCCTCTTCTTAGCTGGCTCCATTCTCTCCTGACTTTCTCTCCTCACTCTGATAAACCTCCAAACTCTCTCCAACTCTCACTAACCGCAACTCTCCATCAAACACCCACATTTTGATTGAAGTCTGAGGGGTTTATATCGCTGTCATATCTCGCGGCAAAGTTCGAACCACTTCATGAACCAGTCACGTGGTACAGCCGGGCAGCGAGGCTTCGGACGTCATCATTTTCAGCTCCTCCCATAAATGAAGCAAGCCTCGATACGCGCTTCGCGGAAACGCCCCCTCCAGCACTCGACACACGCTCCGAAGCCTCGATACAGAACGTCCCATCACTACCTGACACCACCCAGTGACAGCAGACAGATCATCCAACATGCTCACATGTTAACAGCAAAATTAACTGATGAAAACAGTACAAAGGTTAAAGTACCACATGTGCTGTCAGTGAAAGCTGCAGCTGTTTTACTGATAAAGTTAAAGACAAAAAGTTCATTCATCGCCCATTTAACTTTGTCACTATATATCAGCATCAACAGGATCTCAGTTTGGTGTTTCACAAAGCTGCTGATCTCAGACCTGCACAGCTTCTGTTTTAAACACTTGATGTACTCAGCTGCAGGAAGAGCACAAGCTGATTTTCTCTGACACAGTTAAATAAAATCTGATGAAGGTCAAAGGTTGTCACTTGTATGTTGAACTACAAACTTGTGATCTGGAATTCTTTCAGTTTTTTTGCAGATAATCACTTTATGGTAAATAACAGACTAAGAGGTATTCGTACCAGAGTAACCAGAGTGTTCATGAAATGCTGG